ATGATCTGTGTAGCCATCCCTCATGGTGATGACACGGCGCTTCTTTTACACGGCAAGCGCGGATGGCATTAAAAAAAGGGTGGGGCGACATGATGCGTCTTCGTTACAGCAAGCATGGATGGCCTTAAAACAAGCGTAGGGGTCGGGTTGGCGGCCACCTCCCCCACCTTGCAAAGAACAAACATAAAGGTGATGAAAGATGATAAGAACTATTGAAAAACTATGAAAACCCATGAAGAGCATGGACAAATATGAGGATGGGGAATTATTCAATAATATGAAATTGATGAACAGTCATGAAAGTTATTGAGAATGGTGCAAGACATGGCAGCTGCTGAAAGAGGATGGAAAACATGAACATGTTGCAGGCAGAAAGAAACACGAAGTAAACACTTGATAGCAAAAAATTAAGAAGCAAGAAAGATAAGAACGAGAAAGCAAAAAGCAGCAAGGAAGAAACAAGGAGCAACAGGCGTAAAGCTACAAGCAGCAAACAAAAGAGGAAGGCAAAAAGCCAGAAGCGAAAAGCAGAAGCAAAACGCAGAATGCAAGAAGCAACGAGCAGAAACGAGGTAAACCAACAACAAATCACAAAACAAAAACCAAAAAAACAACCTTAAAACACCATAGGCCTCCACAGAATACACAAAATATCACTGAATCATACTAGCAGGGTCATAATAACAATGCGAAAGAGTTGAACAGTCATGGGTATGAATCACGGCCAACCGCAAAACATCCCCACAGCCTCTATTCCGATGTCTATTGTGTACTTTCATGCTATACATGACTGCTAGCTAATCTGCATGAACGCATAATATCATGACACATTGCTGGATTATGGACACCTGCGACAAGTATATGGTTGGTTTTCCAAGCCCTGCTCTTATCCAAAGGCCACCCACGCAACCCATTGGTGTATGTGTAGCCCCGGCTGCAAGACGTACAGATTACATTATTTCTAAAAATGCCCTCCAAAACTATTAGAAGCTGTCGTCAATATTCTCTTTTCATATAATATGGATTCCCTTTCGCTGCACACCTTTTCATGGACTTCGTCTTTGACTCTCATCCTCTATGGAAACTGATGTGCCAGCATACCAGCTTAATACATGCTCCACTTAGCGCCGCCGAAAACATGGAAGCCAGACTTCTATTTATGTTAACACGGTATCGCATTGTTTTACTCTTATCCGCCGAGGCCGGAGGCCTGGGGGTTAAGATCCAGGTTCGGAGACTATAGGAGAATACGTTAAACTTTCCCTCACGATTTGGGGGCGGGGTCCGATCGGCTCTTTTCTGGGAAGGGAGGGGGTTCGGCTCGGCACAGGCTGGCGTGGGTCAGAACCGTCCTAGGCACGAGGCCGGATTTGGGGGGTGAGGGGCGGGGGCGGGGACGCTTGGGCGGGGGGGCGTGGGGCGCGGCTTCGTCTGAACCAACCTTGCCGAGGCGGTCTCGCGTTAGCGATTGATTTATGGCCTTCTTGCCAGACAGCATAAGTTGCTACGTTATTGCTTTGTCCCCACCCACGCACACTCTTGAGTTGCTAGATTTTAAGAAGGTGATGTTCCCCTTGCCCTACGTTTTGGATCCTGACCAGCAACTGACCTGAGGGTTACCCTGAGCATCCCTGAGCTCTGCGCATCTTGTTGAACTGATGGAAAAGCATCATGCAGAGCTTGAGCAAAATGTGCTTTGACCTCGCTTCATATATCTGTCACATGCATGCCATGGTCTCATACGTATTCATACATGCTACTGATCGTGGAGATCTGTGCCTGTCCATGGACTGATCGAAGCGGCCCCATGTGCCTCGATACCTTCGCCATGCCGACTCAAGGAACTCTTTCGTGTGACTGCTGCGCTGCCTCCAGCTGCAGCCGGCGTGGTGGAAGCTAGCATCACCTCCTTCCACTTCGCCCTTGAGCCAACAATGCAAATGCATGACTTGCATCCTAAATGTTGGCGAGCGCGCAGCATACAGCTCTTCGAGCCAGTGCTCCCAGAGCGCTTTAGGCAAGAGCTTAAATAAATCAGAAAAGAGGAATCAAACCCCAGGCCACGCACCTCACGCGTGGCTTATGCTGCAAACGTTGCGGTGACGTGGTTGCAACGCCAGGAAGTGTTTTTCACACAATCATGCACCGTGCATGCAAGCCGCAGATTACAGCTTGCTTGCAGACTAGCCTTTGCCTGTGCATTGTAATTATCTGAAAGTGAAACGCAGCATTGCTTGACAATGTGACGCTACCAGACAAGACAGTCAAAGTTGACAGACACTCCGAGCTGCACACAAATCAAAACTTCACCCAAGATACAGCTTGCGCGAAGTCACGTCATGGTTCAAGCCATTCATCCTGTCCCGCACCTGCAGCAGCAAGTAGCATCTCAAACAGCAGTTCGGGGAATCCTTGTGCCCTGCAATGTTGGCGCTTTCTACGGAGCTTCTAGGGCGGACGCTGCTCGGGAATTTTCGGTGCAAAGCTTTCTCAACAAGTCCTAGGCGGCCCAGGTGTTCTAGGTTCAAAGATGACTGGCCTACCGCAGAGCGGAGAAACCAAAGCAAGCACAGTCCTCAGATGTGTCAGCTTGATGCCACATCTCTCCGACAATTTCTCCATCCTCAGCAGGAGGGAAACCAACTCAACTCCAGAAATCGCTGTGCAATCAAGGGCCCATGTAGGCCGACAAATCTCCGCGTTGCATTGATGCAAAAATCACATGGGACATTGTTTGTACTCCATATGATGTCAGTATGCTGAGAACCACTTTTGCAAAGGCCTTCCACTTACAAGTAGCTTCTTGGGGTTGTGATCGTAGTACCTTCCGCCTTCCGCGACCTCCTTGTGCGAATGTTTCTCAACTGAACTTGCGGATATTTGCGGATTACCCTCCGCTGAAAGGCCTCTCATACTACCACTCAGAATCCCAAGTGCACAGGCATGTGGAGGCTTTCTGGGCACCGTCGCTTCCACGAACAGGAAAAGCTTGCTTGCGGATGGCGCTTCTACACAGCGCCAGCCATCTCCACGGCTGATTCTGTCTGAACAGCAACCACCTCTGGCATGTTCAAAGGCAATACCCGCATTCGAGTTTGGCTTTCTATCGCGAAGCCACACAATGTCACACAACATTACAGTGCTGCCAAGATGTAAGTATTGGTAGGAACAACGAGGGTGTAGATGGGTGTAGCACATGTTCGGCATGAGCAGAAGCGGACCTGATATTCCTCACTGCCTCAGTCAAGCCACCAATGCATGGCAAGACTGATTTGAGAGGCATTTTAGTTTCGATGTTTGATTTCCCCTTGTGCTCATACTTGTCACAGAATCATTTTCTTCCGGAAAGGCGAAAGTATGGATGCAAAATGTTTTGCGCGAACTTCATCCTCAGCCTTACTTCCTCGATCTTCTGTGTGACTAGGCAGGCAAGAACTGCATCTGCGGTCTTCAGAAGCATTTCCTTGATTTGCGCAGGCATCTGCCACAGGTTCGAGATGGTTCGAGTCTCAGTTGTGAATCGGTTTTTGCATTTTGCATCCCTGGAGTTTAAGGCGGCTCTGTTTCCTGGCGGCTCTGCTTTCTGAATTTCTGTCCTTGAATTTTGGGATGTTCCTTCTGCTCAGGCAAACAGAAGCCTTGCGCGAAATGCTAGTTTTAGCGTGTTTTTGAGAATCTATAGTTTGCCGAGGTTGGAGGGGAAGTGAGGTGTGGGGGGGGAGGGTGGAGGTGGCGGGGAGAAGTACATCCGTGGTAGATTGCACGGGTGACATGCTCCAGCACAAGCCGCCACAATGCCATCATCAACAGCGTCAGCAAAGGAACCGACTCATGCTTGAGAATGGTGAGTGCTGGAAGTTCGGCTCGCGACATGCTTAAAACACTAGCCAGCGTGGAAGGAAAAGAAAACCTCGCCAAATTTGGAAAAAAAAATACGCCAAAACCATGTATATTGTAAGATCGCCACAACACCCCCACAAAAAACAGCGAACTGGATAACATTGGCAAGTGCGGAGCGAAAAACGAAACTTCGTAAGCAAAATCGCTCCAAACGACGAAGACTAAACCCCACTTTAAAAATATCTATGAGCACTGGCATGCGTGGGACAAAGCCCACGCCAAATAGTGTTTTGCCCACAGCCGCTAGCGCTGGCGTGACCTTGTTTGTTAGGATATTCTCCTTGGCGCTCTGCTGTGCAACCTCAAGCTACAGCCACGGACGCTCCTCCCGCAAAGCCTGTTGTGAAACCTGGGGACACTAGGCATAAAGCAATCCTTTTCCATCTTTCCCCTGCTTGACTGCTGCCAGAAGCAACCTGGCAAAGACTGTTTCGGCCTGTTCTGACTTGTCGTCTTAGTACTTACAAGTAGTATGCTGAAGCATGAAAAAAGGTTAGTAGCCGTGGATGAGGAGTTGTTCCGTGTTCGCTCTGCACTTCAAGCGGCTTTAGTCTTCGGAGCCTGTGGAGTCCTCACCCCCAAAACCACTGCTATCCTGCGATTTTGTTTTGCCCCGCCACCAGCAGGAATTCTTGGGATCTCTTGGGTTCAAGCACTACAGTTAAGGCTCATTGACGGCAATCGTGGTGGCACCAAAACGAGGGTTGACACTTGTACTGCCAACGCTTGCTGCATTCAGAATGCCAACCCGATTTCAGCATGCAACGCTGTTTCAAGGGATGCTTGCGTCACCTTGCGAGTCTTGGCTACCGACCAGGCTGCCTACAGCCTTGCTCTGTAAGTCTTTGCCTGAGCTGTCACACTCGACTTCCCGAAAACAGCAATGTCAAACTCGCGCCTGGTGGCGGCACTTGAAGCTCAGGCTGTTCATCGTCGTCCGTGTCGCTTGGGAGGTCTTTCTCAAAGCCGCCAACCTTGTGCAGATGATAGGACGGAGCATACGGGCAAGCCTCCAGATTCTCTAAGGTGCCCAGCTGGCTTATAGGACAATCGCTGACCGCCCAAATCAGCACCTCAGCGACATAGTGATGAAATGCGAAAAAAAAGCAACTTCGGATTGTCAGTCCTGGCAGCCTGGCCTAGCGAAGGTCCCAAGACACCACCAGCCTGGCTTTCAAACAATGCTCTCACTGCTGCTTTACGTTTGCCCATCGTAGACTACGATAAGGACAGTCTAGGCCCTAGGCCTCTGCATAGCTTGCACAAAATGGATCGCCATGTTGGAAAGGGTCCTGGGCCACAGGTCGTTAGATGCGGACCCGCAGCACAAGAGCCTTCTCAGGTATAGCTAAGCTTGCTTCTTGAATCTCTCGTGGAGCTCTGTAACTCTCCAGCCTGCCCAAGATGAGGTGAAAAGCTGAACGGGAGCTGTGTGTGTAGTGGGGATCCGTGAAACCGCTGTCTCTGCAATAGCTGCCCTCTTCTGCAATACACTGGCGGGGTGATACAGGTGAACAGGCACGTCCATGGATCCTAATCTTCCCCAAGCTTCAGACCACAGTGTCTCCAAGGACATGATGCCGGACCTCGGTCATGCCCACACCCACTTCTGAAGGATGCTGAAAGCAGATGTGGCAAATTAAGCGTCATGCGGAAGAAGGGGAGCCGCATCAAGAGGCATCAGGAGAGGAGGCTGGCATGGTGGGCTTTCGCTGAAACCCCACAAGTCTTGTCAGCAGACCTTCTCCGCAAGGCCGTGCTCGGGATCACACTCTGCAGAATCAGGATACGCCACGAACGTCCTGGCCAGTAAGCAAGTCTGGGCAGTGCCTCAGCAGTGCGAAGGGGCATCTGCTGACAAGGGTAATGAAATAGACTGCAGTGCGACTGGTTGGGCCTGCATTCGGTGGACGGAATCAATATAGACAGCGCCTTGGCAATGTTGTGCCGCTGTGCCGCTGCGCCATAGTGCAATGAACAAAGCGGTATAAAAAGCACGAGGGCCAGGCATCATGCACAGGAGGGAGAAGGCAAGAGTCCTCCAATTGCTTTTCAAGGCGAATGCTCACATATGGCCCTCAATGCCTGAACTGTCTAGGGCTGGTGCGGGCATGGACACCGGAACTTCAGCTCCATCCAGCTCATCTCCGCGCTGGCCCAACACCAGACTTTCCTGCCAACTGCGCAGGCTGGGCTGGCAAATGGCAGAAAAAGCGATGCAACAAAAGCATGCAAGACTATCTTGGCAGCCTCCAGCGCTGCCGAAAGTCGCTCCCTGTCAGTGTTCGGCTGCATGTACCTCTGAAAACCCCCCGTAACATGCGGCTGGCAACTGATAGTCTGCTAGTCACTTTTCTGGATTTGGGAGGTACGCTGATGCAGGAGGAACTTGATGCTGCTGGTAATCCATGACCTGTGGCGGCAGTTGTGTTCTACATCCCGGCATCTGACGGGTCGTGCTTTTGCCACTCAGGGTGCAGTAGCCTCCTGGCTCATGAGTTGACATGTAACAGGCAAGAACTTAAAAGCGCCGAATCGGGCCGAATCAGGCCGTGATGTCAATCTGAACATGCGGAGTCTGTTCGGGGGCCCTTGTTGCTTCTGGCTGTTCTCTCATGTTGGAGTTGTCCTTTTCAGGCTTTAGGCTTGCAAAAAGGGCATCCCGGATCGGCTTGGTCACCTTCGATTGTGGCCATTTCCGCTGCTGCCTCTTCCAAGGTTTCTTTTGAGTCACCAAATCACGATGGCAGCTAGGGTGGGTGGCGATATTGGACCCAACCGCCTGCGCTGATCAGCCCAGTCAACTCCGACTGCAATCCCAAATTGACAACGCTGAACGAAGCATTTCAAATCATCTCAAGTGAGAGCGGCGCTTTGAAATCCAGGCGACTGTTCAACTCCACCGGGAGGAATTCTTCAAAGTTGTCCAGGTGGTTCACCTCGCGAAACCAGGCGCTTTGGAGGGCATACTTCCATCTCCGACTCTTTTCAGGTCAGCGGGCTCAACTTTAGGCAGAGCATGGCTCTGTTGGCAAGCGGTCTCCATTCACAGAAGCCTCGACTGGTTGACGCTCTTCTGCTGAGAAACCCGACCTCTGTGATCGCTGCAATTTGCCATTGAAGCGCTGGACGGGCTTAGACTTTTGCGTTCGCGTTGGAGTCTGGAAGGGAAGCACGAAGTCTTCTGGAATGTGCACCTGAGAAGGAGCTCTGAACCTGGGTGCGCAAGCGGCACTGAGTACTTCATGAGATCAAGTGCCCAGCAGTCGGTAGAGTGCCTTCGGTCTTTTCGTCCGTGCCTCAGTGCTGGCTACCCCATGAGCGTTCCAAAAGGCTGCTACTGGCAGGCCTTTGGCACTTTTGTTGGGCATCTTCTCCGCTTTTATAAGAGTTCCGGAAGCAGCAGCCTGCGTGAACGCTAAGTCGATTGACTTTTGTTTGAATGGCATCCACCCTTCATGCGCGTGTGCTTTAGCTGCCTTGTTTTCAGCTTCAACCCACGCCTGGTCATGACAAGCTCAAAACCACTGCAAGCAGCCGGTCATTGCAAGCTCTCCTTGCAGCCAGGTCTGTCGAAAACCCCAGCGTCACTCATAGCCTAAGTTGCGGGAGTCTTGCCAAACCTACGGTGGGCTTTCAGTGGTGCCAAGGCAATAGCCTCCTGCAGCAGCCGCATTCTTTTTTCCGCGCGTAAGCGCATCAGCACCTGGAAATACAAATGCTGCTTCATCTTGTAGACCTCTTGGAGAAATCACATGTCTCGCCTTAGAACCTGCTCGCACGAAACGCTCGATGACTTGCAGCCTGACCTTAGCCGCTTGTACGCATGAATCTGACCTACCTCCCGATTCGAGAGTCAAGCTGGTACCGGCAAAAGCTTGATAAACCGCAACTGGATCCAAACTTGCCATGACTGCGCCTTGTGATCTGATTCGCGCTGAGCAGGTGACGGAAAATGTGTCGTTTGCACATTCGTCCCATTCAGGTTTCGAAGCCTCCGGGCAGGTCCTAGCCTACACCGTAGGCTTTCACAACACACATGACGTCATTCAGCGCCCGGGAGCCACGCTGGTTTGAAGCTACTCGGGATGGCAATCTTGGTGTGGGCTAGAACCTGGAACCGAAGTCCAGGTCCAGGCATCACCCTTGTGCACCCGTGCGTGAGGCACAAACCGACTCCACGCGCTTGAGGTCTTCCTTCATTCTGTATTGAAGGAGCTTCTCGTGCCTGTGCCAAGAGAGCCGGACTAGGCAAAATGTCTGCACTAGACTACTGGAGCGCCCTGCCAATTTGAATGCCTTGCCTTGCTTTGCGAGCAGCACAAACTTCCGAAACATCGTTTGCGGCCGGTGGTTCTTCTCCCGTAGCACGAGTGCCTGGGTTTGCCCAATCTTGTGAGCGTTCTGGTATTCGGTCTTCATCGTTTACATTGGCATGGACAAAGAAGGGTGCACGTAGGTATTCGTGCATGTGTGCTTGTATGTCTCATTACGTATACTGTATAATGTATGCTTCACCACCATCACGGCCAAAGCCCGTGTGAGTGTTGGCCAGGTTGATCTAAGATGCATCTTGACAACTGGCAAGGGCTTGCTGAGAAGGAAACTTTTCAGTTCCTTGTCCTTGTCTCGCTTGTCTACCTGACTGCCCGGAAGGCAATCAACAACGGATACAGAATAGCTCAACGGATCACAAGATGCCTCCCGGTACTGGAGCTCGAAGCGCAGCTCTGTGGCCTGCTTATCCTCTGCCACCTGTGTCGACCGCACGATTATGGTGATCCCAACTGTCATCGGCTTGCTGAACCTCCTCCTCCGGTTGATTCTTGAAGTTGTCGGACACCAAGCGTCGCCGTTGGTCTGCCGCCTACGGTAGCAGTTATCCACAGACACTGGCGAAGTGATCAAAGAGCTCTCAGCATCGCGTTCTCCATCACACCTTGGTCAAACCTTCCTCCATCATCGGCATCCAAGCGATTTGTAACACCGCACACCTCCTTCGCATCAAACAACAGTGCCGCCTGTCGCTGTTCGCGGATAAATGCCACCAGGTCCTGGACGCATGTTTTGAACAATTTCGGAGATGTCCAATGTACAGTTGCTTGCGCTTGACCCCCAGCGTCCTTGAGTGGCAGCTTGCCGGCGGTTTGATTCAGAATGTAATTTGTCGCTTGTTGGTCTGTTCTGGTGGTGGGAACCTGCGGCTCCCAGGCCCAAAGGGACAAAGAGCGCCACAGTTATGTGTTCAAGCTGCCATGCCTTCACACCGCTGATCGTCCTTTCAAGCTCTTCCTTCTTGAAAGTCGGTAGAACGACCTTACATTCATGTGTCAAGCATCTTGCATACTTGGATCAGCCGTTGACATAATCGCTGCGATGAAGAAGTTATCAAAAACTTCCCTGTAGCGTTCTCAGGGTCGCTGCCGCCAAACAAACAAGAAGCTTGCCGGCTTAGTAATGTAGCAGCTTGATGCCCCATCGGAACAAAGGAGTGGCCTTACCGATCACCCTGACAGGCTCATCATGCTTTTAGATGCCTTTGCGCCGGCAGCGCAAGAAACAAGCTACTTCGGCATTCTACAAAGCAGCGTGCACCACGGCAAGTTACATCTCTTGTTTAAGACGGGAAGTCACTATTTGTGCTGCTTGCAAAAGTGACTGGCTAGCAACAGAGGAACGGGAGGCCCGAGTCAGAGCCGGAAAGCAGTAGGAAGCAACCAACAGCTCACCAACTGCACAGCAAGTCACCAAATGCTAGTATCAGAACATGGGACAAGCCCCGGACACGAGCGCAATTATTCTGCAGCTTCTTCTCTAGGGAGGAAGAGGCAAGTTTCACGGCCTTGCCTTGCGCAACGCTCTGAAACCGATTGCTGATCTTCGTGTGCTGCACTACCACCGGATGACGCGTTTGCCCTGCGAACGACCAGGTAGCTGCTTGACCCGAATTTGGGCTTAAACCTATTTTAGGGTTAAGGCAAAACCTAAACCCGAATTTAGGATTTAGCTAAACCCTAATTTACTTAGCTAAACCCTAATTAGGGGTTAACTAAACCCTATTTCAGGGTTGATCTACATCCTAATTTAGGGTTGAACTAAACCCTACTCAAAGGTTTAGCTAAATCTTACTTTAGGGTGTAAATAAACCGTAATTTAGGTTCTAAAAAAACCCTAATTTGGGGTTTACCTTACTTTGAATGACAGTGACCAGTTGGCGATTTTTGCGGTCACGATGATGTGTAGACAGTAGACATCATCTGACCCAGACGGTACAAAGGGAAGCTACATGACCTCAACTGTCGGGGTGCAGAAAGCAGCGCTAAGGCAATGGCTTGCATTGGCTTCTTCCGCTTTCCCTGCATGCTGACGTGTCGCTTCTTATATGGCAATGACAGCCTTGAGATGCTTAAATTCTGGACTGCCTGAAGCTTCTGGATAGTGTCCGCGAATGCCTCCTCAAATTTGCCGGTGATTGTTCAGCGACGCTGACAAAGGCTGTGAGAGTACATACAGAGTTGTGCTGGCGGCTCGCAGAACGAATTTCAGGGTCCTGCCGCTGTGTGGCCTCCACAGCTTCTAGCTCCTCTGTGCGAGGCAAGGTCCCGCTTTCCCGCTGCAAGAGGCCTTATGCCTGATTACTAACCATGAATCACATCTGCCAAACATCTGTCCAACATCTCGGATCGCAGCACCTTTCATGGTCTCAATGTCACCGACCACTGCACAAGCTGCAAGTAAAACACGCCTCGAGTTTTGCAGCCTCTGGTGAGCAAGACCCTAGAATTGTGACCTGCAACTACGGATGCGCTCATCACGAAGCGAGGACCCTAAAGCGGACGATGCCGTCCCCCTAGTCTCCCACCATCATGGGCTGGAAGTCAAACTGCGCTATCTGGAATTGAAGCTCTGCTCTTGCAGTCCTGCAGTGACGCATGAACACCAAAGCATGTAGTTCACGTGATGATGCGACGCAATTGAAGCCGTCCTGTGTCTGGTTGGGGTGTAAGTGATGACAACCTCTGTGCTCCCATCCGCAGGAATAACACCTCCAGTTTGTTAGCTATCTTTATTGTAGCCTTCATCCATGGCGATCCGGGTGTGCGCACACCACCGCAAACAAGCTTTCTAGGCAAGTTAGCTAAGCATGCTAGGCCACCAGGCCTGCGAGTGGAGATATACAAAAGTCGGAGTGAGACTCCACCACATCAATTTCGAACCTTCTTCGACAGCAAACAGGACCATGTACCCCTCTTCCACAGTGGCCCTCATGCATGACTAGGCCCCTAGCTCAAAGTGGATTGGAATCTTGCATGAGAGCGGAATCACCTTGGATCTCGACCTGGCAAGCAGAAGGCTCAGCGGAGTCCTTTGTTAACCATTTGCAACCTTTTGCCCATCCATGTGGCGTTCAGGCGCTTGGATTTCTTTACGCTGGATGCTCGGAAGTCACCATCATCCCACGCTTGAATTTAATCTTGCTCATGGGGGTTCCGAATTTCGATGCGAAGTCCCAAGGGCCCCAATTAAGTTTGAGAAACCAGTTCCACTTTAATTCTAGATTCCAGATTTCGTTCTTGCCAGAAACCATCGATTACTTCCCAAGCGGCTTACTAGAAAACCCCATCAAAGCATCCCTGCTGAGGAGTAATATACCTGCAATAATGGCCCGTGAAAAGGGAGCAGTGTCACAGCCCAAGTCTGACAATAAGGCAATTCTCTTCATGCTACTCAAAGCTTTAACTACCTGGATTCCTTTCGCAAGCCGCAGCTCAGCAATTCCAATCGCTCTGCGTGAAGCGAAGCAAGCATTCCTGATTTGAGCTGCGGACGTTCCAATTGCTATTGCACCAAAGTCAATGATCCGTGGCAGGACGATGTCATTGGCGGATGGGTAGGCGTGGATGGGCCTGCCCGAGCGCAACTCTGCTCTGTACTGCTGCCATCATAATTGGGATGCATTAAGCTAACGGCACAATCAAGTTTTCAGAGAGCTCCCCACAAAAGATCTTGATGGTGTCATAGTAGTACCGCCTGTCACAGCTGTTGCAGCCTAAATCAAGAATTCAAGGGCGTTGCCCACAACATCCCACAACAGGCCAAGGCTGCCATTCATGAGGCTCAAATGAGACAGCGATGTCTTCACTCATTCCTGGCCTTGCCACAAGCAGCATCCACGGTGAACAGGCATTTAATAGTGCTTAATTCCATGCACTGGGGCTAACTTAATGCTCTGCTCGGTCAGTTTCTCTGCAGTCAGCAGTCGGTTCAAGGACTGCTGCGTTGTGCAGCATCCCTTGAAGGCTGAGGTCAGGGCGCAAGCAGGCCCTTCTTGTCAAAGTTGATGCGAAACCATGGCGTTGATGGACCTGGGTCTAAGTGCCCTGGGCCATGTCGGCCTTGCCCGAATTACAATGTGTCGAGGATGGGGCCGATGATGGAAACGCGCAAGGAAGACGGCGAGATGTTCACGACCCGCAGCATCTGTGTATGCTCCTTGCGCTGCACGCAACGATCTTGCAAAGTTCCACAACTACCCAGAAAACATCCCGCTGACATCTTTTTGTCAAACTGTTGCAAGGCAAAGTTAGACCCATTGTTCTTGTGGCGAAGGTTGACAGAGCTCTGGAAAAGCATGTTGCCCCCCTAGGCCACAAACACGATGTCGTCCAATTGAGAACGCATGGACTTAGCTTGCGGAGGCTGCTTTATGAACAACTCACGCATTTGCGCATTGCATGTGAGCATCGTGGCACCACAGTTTCTTGACCGCAAGCGCCGTCCGATCCGACCTTGTGATATGCCTGTGAAGACCATTAAGAACGTGCATGTGCATCGCGAGTAGTCAGACAGGCAGTATGTTGTAGCCCTGCATGTCTGAAACCAAAGGGTTGGAAGTGGAAAAGTAACCACACTGGGATACGCTTTTTCCACATGGGCTCCAAGACTCTCATTGATTTTGGCCGAGGGGGTAACTTGCTTTCTCACTAAAACGTCCGGCTTCAGCAAATGGATAGTACCAGCAATTGACTAAAGAAGCTGCTTGCGTAGGACTTAGGAAAGACTGGGCACTTGCTGTCAAGCCTATGGGCTGAAGCTGGTTTTCCATCGTTTGCACAGCACAACTAGCCGTAAACTCGGACCAGGCAGGCATGCGTCCTTGTGTATTTGGAAGCCGCCGAAATGAAGTGTGTGCGGCCTTTGCAATGACTAGACGTGCTTTGTCCAAAACGCCCACAGATCTGACCGCAAACGATTAGGGCGGGCATACGAAGCTGGGCGCGGCACCTTGTTTCGACCACATCATTTCGATGCAGCTGCTCAAACGTCTCTTTCTCCAGCAAGGGGTGCCTGTGCAGCAGGCAAATATTGTCTTGCGCGACGTTTGCACAGTGAGGCTTGCCTGCCCCCAACTACTAGCTCGGCGCCATCATCAGGGTACCTCTAGCAGAGCACTGCTGAGTGACCAGCAACTTTTGCCTCACAAACATCTCCAAGCCACCCTGCAGTTGCCATGCTGCTTGTAGCGCACGAGCACCTAAAATTAATGCAGACGTTCTATGACTTCGCACGCCCGTACGGCACTCTGTACCCTTCACGGAAGCACCAAGCACAAGTTGCTGCAAAGCGAGCAAAGAGGTTTGTTTTGGACGGTTCCTTCACTTTTCCTGTACGAGACTAGGAAATATGATTTGTTTTAACGTGCGAACGTATGTGAAGCTCCAATTCTAGCCAGGCAGCTTCAACCCCAGCCGCTGCCGATCGGTGCAGATGCCATGAATGACCTTTGCAGGAGTGTTGTCCACGCAAGAAGCTTGTAGCTCGCAAAAATCAACTTTGGATCAAAGCACGGATCATGTACAAAAATTACATGATCGCTGCGGCTGCTTGTGCAGCTGCTGCCTCGCTCCATCCAAATTTCAGTGATGGCATCTGATGAGACACCTGTCTACTCCAACCGTGCGCACGAGACTGACACGCGCAGGTTCGCAACATTGAGATCTTTCGTTGACGACACGGCTACCTACCAGTACCAAAAGCATCACCCTCCATGTCCGAGTCTCTCACCAAATGCTGTGGTAGGTTGCTCTTTTCCTCCCTCTCTGCGTTGTGCATGATGCAAGACTGGACTTCCTCATTTTTGCCAAACGGAAGGCAGGACAACAACAAAGCGTACAAGAGCCGGTACCAGGCCTAGGTTCCCCTTGCAACAATTTGGAGCTGCAAAGGCACCGGGCACCAAGCATCCCTGACGGAAACTTATGAAAAAGAACGCTCAAAAGATCCCAAATCACCTGATTTGTTCCATTCAAGCTCAAGAATGCATGACTCGTCGACTCACCAACTAATTTGGGCAGGGACCCATGTTCTTCTGGCTGTGAATCCTGTCCCCGTTTTGTCCCCCCCCCCCTTGCATACCCCTTTGTCGTGGCCTGTTGTTACATACCTTGGTCGCGAATGATTGGCGCAGGTATGCCCTGTAAAAGAAACTTGCCGCAAAGGTGCCTGTCGCAAGCCAGGAGATTCTGTTACAAAGCTATGTCGCGGAATAGCCGCCCAAGCCTGTTACACCACCGCCATATCAAAACGCTCGTGTTTTACTGTGTAACGTGCTGATCAAGGGTAGGTAGCTTGCGAAACCTACTTTGCAGCTTTCGGCGCTTGCGGTGGCAACGTGGGGTAGCCTTCATTTCCCAGTGCTGCCTCGGTATTGTTCAGAACCACCTCCTGATCCGCTGGTTCTCACAGTAAGTTTTGTGGCCCTGAGCTGTCGGAAGGTTGCTCGCAAGAAAATTTAACGCTTGAAGATGTGTCAATGCGAAGTCCATTCACTTGGCTGTATGTTGCTATGCGGGGCTGTCTTGCTCCCGCTTCGAGCGTCAGATGTGGCAGGTTGTTCGTCAGCCGGCCTGGTTGGCCCGTCACGGTGTTCTCTCTACCACTGCCCATGTGCAAGCGCTCCTTGACAGAAAATCTATGGGGTGCGAACATATGCACATGGCGTGGGCTCGAACAAGCCCATTGCGGTCAAGCTGATGTGCTCGTCTTGCATCATCACTGGCCCCAGAGCTGTGTCCCGAACAGCAATCTTTATGCAATCGTTTTTCCGTGCTTCAGTGGAAAATACGACGGCGAGACTCTTCCCCTGCTTCTGCTGAAAACTGTGCTCAACCGCGGAACCGAAGGTGGCCCTGAATCGCCCTGGCAACCCTGCCTTAAGGGTATAGCAAATTCATTGAACACGAAAGTTCATGCTGATGGAGCTTCTGCTGCATACTGTAGCTGCTGAAAAGATTCTCCACCCACACATTGCGTAAGCTTGCTTCATACTGAGAGACAGCTCATTGCACACCCCCTTTGGCCTTGTTACTGAAGCAGCTTTTTCATTTTTCTTTCAAACAAACGCTTGTGTGCCTCCTTGTGAGTTCCTTGTGAGCCAGCCATCACGTCTGTCAGGGACCGACTCTCTCGCCCTCCTTCTTCCTAAAAGGCCTCGTTAGACAAGAGAAAACTCATTGCTGGAGGATAAGTTGGGAACCCGACCAGGGATTCGAGGCATTTCGAACCCATGATGCTACAAACCTGTTTAGCAGCACCACCTACAAACCCTGTAAGGAGCCGACTTCCGCGGAAAAAAGAATGCCAGCGCTGATCCAGAATGCTGCATTTCAGGCGAAAGAGTCGAAATGGCCCAGGGATCTTCTCTCATGCTTTGGTCTGGTCCTTAAGGCGCTCAAGTGTTTTTTTAAGCCCTCGGGCGCCACACGCCTGATGTAGCTGTGTGTCTTCTTTGCACACTGATGTCTTGTGAGACGGGTTGGCGACTCGTCTATCCCTGTCATGTCTGCTGTACATTCTACAGAGATGCCAAGCTCGATCAAGCCTTCCGCCTGAGACATGTCCGGCGCCAGGCAGCCCTATCATTGGAAGCCTGATGGTTGTATCACTGCTAGAACGCCAATGTGGACAGCGAAGTCAGCACCATTCACGCAGCCGCTGCTGCCGCGGCACCAACACAAATTGAAAGGCCCGGGCTGCAAGTCTGCCATGACAGACGCTGGCCAAATGAATGTGCAACTGTCGGCATAGGTGCCACAGCGCCTGGACGGTAAAGAAGCTAGCGTCACGCCAGGGGAGTTGCAAGGCACGCCCGCGTCCAAATCAATTTTTAGTTTGTCCCCATCCTGCAGCTGCAGCCCGTTAACTGGCGCAACACTGCACTCACGCTGCTGCAAACAAGTGAAAGTTTGTTCAGCAAAAGGGCCATGAATGTCCATTGTGCCAATGTGGAATGAAAGGTGAAGATCTTGGACCGGGTCACATGGACTTGCACACCAGCACACGCTGTACTGGCCGCCATATGCGTGGAGACTTGGCCAATAGAAATCCGATGTGCCCAGTGCTGCAACCACTATTGAATCTATTGGCTTCAAGCCGGCTTGACCACAGGCTCCTGCAAGGACGATAGCGCCAGTGGTCATCGCATCCTCATGAAGCCAGGAGAGTCGGACTGCGCAAGCTTCTCCGGAGCGACAGAAGTAGCTCCTACCGAGCTCAGGGCCCAATAGCAGGAGACGCCCAGCATGCACAATGAAGTCACTCGAATGACGGCAAAAAGTGATGTTGGCCGCAATCCTGCACCAGCACAGCTCGTAGTATCTTCCAGATGCTTGCGCCCTGGAAGTGAAATTGAATGAAGTCCCATCAGTAGAAGGAAAGGAAATGCCTTCCCCACCCAAAGATTGAACTGGTTTGGCCTTGCCACATGCGGTGGCAGAGGCAAGCAGAAGATCTCCAGCACGGAGGCCCACGCCTTGCAGGTTTGTCAGCTGTAGCTGACCCCCTGCCGAAGCCGAGAAATTCTGACCGCTGTACGGGCCCTCGAGCTGCAAGCTGCCCGTTCCTTGCGACACAAACTCTTGACAAACGATTGCAAGCTGGTGCTTAAGCTGCCTCGCGTCATGCCAGCCCCCATCCGGAACACTCATGTAGACTAAGGGCTCCTTGACATGATCAGTTGCAGATGGTTGGCCTGCAGCCCAGTTCATGTAGCCCTCTTCCTGGTCAACGGCTCCATCATACGACCCATTCAGAAGTAGCGAGCCATCGTCCCACATCCAGCGGCCAGAGCTGTACCACCGAGCGCCTAGCCACAAGCCCATGCCACAGGGGCTGACTTGCACTCCACGCTCACGGGCCTCAGCTACGGCCGCTTGCAAGTTCGCTTGGCTTTGCGGGCTCTTTGGCATGGGCAGCGGTGCTGGATTGCAGGCAGCACGGGCTTCATCCTCATTACCACATCCAAGAAATTGGTAGCCACGATATGCAAAAGATGCCTCGCCAAACCCACTCTTCTGCATACATAAGGCGAAATCTCCACCACCTCTTGGTACGGGTTCCACGCCCGAGGTGAAGTTGGCAACCTGGTATTTTGCACTACCATCAACCGGAGCATAGGGCTGAACTGTTGAAACCAGCAGGCCCGCTGAGGGAAAGCCAGTTTCGGCTGCTGCTGCCAGTATGGTTTCCCAAGGCCCAGAACAATTGTGAACGTCAGGGACTATTGCAATGTGATCGACTTCCATGCCGTAGCCAGCAACGTATGGCAGAGTGAGCGGATGCCCTGCTACAGCTTGGAAGCTCTGCGAAGTGACTGGGCCAGAAACCTCCAATTCGCCAAGGCGGACAAAGAAATCTTGTGGATACAAACAGCGATGGCCAGCGCTGCCCATGCACCAACAGAGCTGATAAATTCCCACTGGGTTCATGACCACATCCTCGCCCCATGATACTGAACGACCACCAAGTTCGGCTGGTAGTGATAAGCCTCCTCGTGGCCATTGGTCCACCTGAATGTCAGGTGGAGTCACATCAGCTCCAAAGACCGTATATGTTGGAGGATCTGGACAGAAGTTCAAGACATGGACAACATCGCCATCGGCCAACCCAAAACCCTCTAAGTCAATGATGCTGCATATCTGGCCCCGGATGCAACGACGGTAATGGTTGCTTGCGGGTGACACGAGCAAAAGTGGGCCAATCTCCGCTGCAAAGTCATCTGTCAAGCTGCAACTACTGGATGACTCGTCCGGCCGACACCAGCACATGCGATATGTACCCAAGTTGGCCGTAGCGGGATTCGCAACAACGTAGAAGCTGCCGTCTGTGGTGGAAACAGGTGATTCCGGAGTCAAGCCAGAAACGCCTCGAATCGTCATATCCCCTTTGGCCTGGTCTGTTTGGGGCATGCGGCATTCATCCAAAATCAGAAGCAAGTCGTTTGGCTTCAAGCCGACGCCCTGGATGTTGTCAACAGCACATCGCTGACTGTGAGTGCATTTGCGGGGCTGGCCGCTGAAGGGGCCCTGGACCGTCATGATGCCGATGTCAAACCCAAAGTCATAATTTTCTGCGCACTGAGTGCCTGCGCCTCGAGGAGTGCAGAAGCACAGTCTGTAGTGACCTGCACTTGCTGTCACCCGCCCACAGCCGAAATTTGACGAGACCCCTTCGATTTCATCAGGGGTTATGGTTGCACAGCTAAGATCTTCTGCCTTCTGGGACTTAAAGGTGACGATGCCAGATGTGTGCCCGCCCTGTGGAAAACCTGCAAAGTTGCCAGCACAGCTACCCATAACTGCCACGCGATCCCAGGAGTCTAGATCGCGGCCTCTAATGCCTGTAACATCACAAACTTGCCCGCGAACACACGTGCGTTGTTGATCTGGCTCTGGCCCAGAAATGAACACAGCACTAATTTCCAGAGGCACCGCACCATCACAGCCACCTGAACACCAACAGAGCACATAGCGCCCAACAGCAGCTTCCAAGATCCTGCCCTCGACTGGGTTTCCCCACTTTAAACGTTGTCGTAGGCCTGATGTGTCTCCAGATCCATCATCAACAGCCAGGCCATCAGCAGGAGTGTTGGGAACGCCTGCTGCGTTAACAGTGCCACTGCCACAGCGAGTGGGAGACAACAGCCCGACGTCGGTCGAGCCCAAGCCAATGCCGCTAGGAATCCCGGCTTCGCAAGCACTCCCGCGATAGCAACGGGCTGCTGCACGCCCCCACACCAACTTCAGCAGAAGGGCATCTTCTCCTCCATAGCCGACCAACGGTGTAGCGCCAATCTCAGGCGTGTAGCCACCAGTTGCTGAGCCTGCTGCATACACATGACCGCCAGCTGCTTCAGCTGCCATGGCTCTTATGACTTGATCCCCCGGACTGCGTAGTTGCTTCTGCCACCCTGCGTAGCTTCCATCGGATGCAGAGAGGGTCATCATCCATGCGTCTGTACGTCCTAAGTCACTTGCACCAACTGGCACATCATTCTGTGAATCTTCCTCAGGCCAGAATGTACCCGAAGTACCAGAAATTAATAGGTCACTTGTTTGCTCAGTGAACCCAGGCAGGAAGACGATTCCATACACGTACTCATCCGCAGGTGTACCTGGCATGGCCGTCCACACCCAATCTAGGTTTTCCGTGAATTTCATCACGAAACCGTCGTATCTTCCAGGCTTGGGATCCGGGATTTCACCACGCGGATCCCAATCTAAAAACAAGTTGTCGTCAGTGTAGCCCGCTATGTAAATACTGCCATCTGGGCCAGACGCTGCACCAGTGGCGACATCGCTACCTCCAGATCCTACTTGCTTTCCCCTCTCGAAATTGGCATATGGGCCGATACTGTAGATTGCAAGAATCACATCTGCCCGCTCAAACGATGCACTCGGAGCGTAGAGGTTGGAATCTGTGGTGCCGAAGGCCAGCACACGCTCCCTGCCATCATCGGTGCTGCCGGTGTAGAGGTGCAAGCCGCTCACAACATCATTTCCTTCCCCACCTACAAGCCCGGCCCATACAAACACCAAGTCCAGCGTAAACTTGACAATGACCGAGTCAAGCCCACCTTCGGGGGGGATGCCAAGCATCTGGTCTTCACGGATGGCTGCCGCATACAACCCATCTGATGCCACCACAATTCCTCCAATGAAGTCGTTCATGTTGCTTCCAAACTGGAAGGCCTTGATGTACTCGCCGTATTGACTGAGCTTGACAATCCAGCAGTCTGTGCCACCACTGATCGCAGGCACCGGAGCAATGCCTTCCTGCATGCTTTCTTTTCAAGCTAACTTGTGCATTATTGTATTAGCTGCACGCGATGCACACAGTACGAAAAAAATCCAGCACACATATATATCCGGAGATTGACTTGCAGACCTACTTCTATGATCTTCTATGACAGTACTACTTCGACAAGCAAAACATAGCAAGACTGCGATTGCAAAGGTCCTGCGAATAGGGCCATCCAGACAGCATATTGTCCGAAGTGCTACCAGCCACAAACACTGAATGATCCTCACGGTGGATTGCCAGTCCTCCCAGAACTTCATCACCCAAACTCCCAAGTTGTCTGGTCCACAAGAGGCTTCCATTGTACCCGACCTTGGTTACCCAGGCATCTCGGGCCCCGAAGTTAATGAAGTTCAACGGTTGCAGAGCAAGCTTCAGAAAGCGGCAGGTGGATCGCCACTGCTCGTCTCCGCTGTCGTGTCGCATCCAGCCACAATCAACATCGACGTAGTCGGAGCTGGACCTCCCTTCTGTCCATGTCATCCCGCTGGCCTCCGCAACACCTTTTGTTGTTTGCGGGTTTACGATTGTGCTGTTGGTGGTGCCTGCAAGAAGGGCATGACCCAGACCCTTTTCAGGCTCTGCAGAATCTACAAGGACATGCGATGCTATATCTGCGCCGCCACCACCGAACTGTACTGCCCAGGGCGTATGCGTTGGGCGTGGACCATTGACTGTCAGGGTGCCGGCATCAGTTGTGAAGCGATGCGGCACTTGGGAATTGCAAGGCTCTCCAAATACAAGAGTGCAAAAGCAAACTCGATAGTGGCCACCTTCCGCAGCCACAGTCTGACTACCCCAGGTAACATTTGCCAGTCTGCCACCAGCATCGACAGAAGTGCCCACACTGGCCCAGTGCAAACCCCGGAGAGGCGTTCCACCGAAGCAGTTGCCTTCTTTGACTAGCAGCTTGTCTTCCACTGTAAGCCCGGCCCCGCGCATTCCATAGATAGAGCACGGACGGCTAGTGTCGCAAGCCCAGGCTTGACCGCCAGCTGGTCCATTGATGGCCAAGGCACCAACATCCACCACGAAGTCGCCAGGAAGCTTGCATGCACGTGGTGAGTTGTCCAAGCGGTGGCCAGCGCACCAGCACATACGATACTCGCCACCAGGGGCCGACAGCAACGACTCTCCCCACCGGAAAAAAGATGCGTTTGGTTCCAACTTTTGAGATATTCCTGCGCCCTCAACGCCTGCTACGGAAGTGGAAGATTGCATGCAGCTGTCGGCTATCCTCACTCGGTCCCCCATCTGTGATGCAGAGTTCGGAACTGCACCCTGGAACAGGGAGACAATCAGTGCGGATGAGTCCGAGGCTGTGCGGCGATGATCTGCCACAGGGCCAAGAAGCACAATGCTCCCAACCTCAGCACCAAAGCTGGACTGGTCGACTCCCTTCCAACAAAGCTTGTATATGCCTCCGTTGGCTCTGTTAGGTTCCACCCAGGCCGCATCCCCACCCTCACCGAACTGCGCGCTGCCACCGAAGCCGACCTCCTGAAAATCTGTCAGGTTGTTGGCCTGGGGGTCGGTATCACAAAACTGCTGTACACTGATAGCTCCGTTGGTGAAGTAATGCCCGCTGAGGCTCTGCAGCGTGCAAGGCAGGCCAGCTACGCAAGTTCTGACTTGGTCTCTCACAGGACCTATCAACCGCAAAGTGCCTGCGAGGGTGTCAAAGTCAGCAGATGCGTTGCAAGACGAGAATGATGGACTGCACCAACATAGCCGGTAATCTGCACCAGATGCCGTGACAGGCGCTTCACGCCAGTAGAATCTCGTTCCTCTGGCGTCAGCTGGCTCCGAAAAGCCCGCATTGGGCATTCCTGTGATAGGCGTGGGCTTGTCACCGCAAGATTCGTTTGAGTACATCACCAGCAGCATGTCACCATCATTGAGCTGCTCCCCTAGCAAAGGAATTCCAACACATTCTTCTCCTGCAAAGCATGTAAACAAGTTGTCGGGTTGTGGCCCTGTCAGACTTAGAACCCCTGCATCGACTAATATGTTGTTCGGCCCACACCCTGGCACCACTCCTGGTGTTGAGTCGTTAAGAAACTGGGTATCGTTCCACGGGCGGCACCAGCACAAGCGATAGGAGCGGGGCAAATAGCTTTGCAATGACAAACCCCAATCGAAGCCAGTTCCAAGGTCATCCTGCGCAGCTGTATATGGCACAGAGGAGACCTCGCTCACACTACATAGGGGCAAAGGTCGGAGCAAGTCGCCCTGTTGCAGGCCCCGACCCTTCAAGCCTGATATCTGACAACTCTTGGCAACCTTGCATTGCCAAGTCTGTCCACCCTGTGGTCCGTCGACCATAAGCGCACCCAGTGTTGTAACAAACTCCGCGAACGAACGGCTGGGTTCGCTTCGAACTTCCGGTCCAGTCGGTTTACGCCGCCAGCACAATGTGTAGATGCCACCTCTCGCAGCAATGCTGCCAGGCCACGTAAACTGGGATTTCCCCTGACTCATAAGTCCCACAGCCACGCCCGAGTTCGGGAAACCATCAGCACCACGCATTTCTCGAAGCCTTGTCCAAGTCGCTCCATCTTTACTGTAGGAAATGAGGAACTTAGTTATCCACTCATCAGCATCTGCCCGCCCCCTTATGACGACCCCTGATACATACATCAGCTTGCCCGCGTCCAACTGATACCATTCTCCAGGCCGCGCTTCATCGGCAACCCAGGCTGTCGAGGAGTCCAGTCGACCACACGAAAAGCATTCCGATGGAGAAGTGCTTTGCCTGGACGACGAGAAGCTTCGAGCATCCTCCCCCACATCAACCATCGTGCTGGACGTACATGTTTCACAAACTTGCACAATGAGGCCTGCTCGCAAAGAAATATTTCCGTACCACATCGTCGGATAGATTCGAACGTAGCGGGCCTGCACCGATGTGAAAAACTCCACAGTCTCGAAACCATCTCTGCCTGGACTCACTGAAAAAAGGCGCCCATCACCGAGGTCCTGGTCAAACTCTCCGCATGCAGCACTTCTTGCAGTTAGGCGGTCGCCGATTGACAGCCCAACGCCTGCTACATCTAAAACGGAACAAAGCCTTCCGGTAATGCAGTGGGCAGGTGGATATGACAAAGGGCCTGCCAGCAAAATGCTACCAGCATCCGCGCTGTAATTGGCCATGGCTGCACTGACAGCCCAGCAGATACGGTAGCGGTCAACAGATCTGTGCAGCAAGGACGCCCACTGCACAAGAAGCCTGTCCGGAGATGAAAATTGGACTGAGCCAACATCTGCTTCATCATTTTCATCTTTGTCTGCGCAGCTTCTACGCAGGACGGCGACTGGCGGATCTGGCCCGTAAGACAGCATCCCTGCTCCATGCAATTCTACTTCGCACGCGGCGCCCTTCACGCAAACTGCCTCTGCCGCCCCATCGGGGCCAAATGCCAGAAGACTGCCGGTGTCTACTAGGAACGCATCGGTGTTACATGTTCGCCAGCTGCTACACCAGCAAATCCGATAAAGGCCAGCCGCAGGAAGAGGCTCCAAAAGCCAGGCGATTTCAGACGTGTTGAAGTCGTCACTGCTTGACTTGTTGTCCTGAACAAGCTGAGCGGATGCAGAAAAGGAAGCAGCTTGTGTCGCAGCCCCACAATTCTCAGAGGCTCGTATGACCTGCAGCTCATCGTCGGTGGTGAGGTGAAATCCACGCAGCCTCACTTCAAACGCTACCCCTGCAAAAGGCACGGCACTGCTGGTAAGAAGCTGCGGCCCGCCAACGCTAAAAACGCCTAAATCCCATGGCATACCAAAACCAAATTTGTGGCCACTTGGACACGGCTTCCTCAAACAAGCCGCCAGTTGCGCACAAACACGGAAAACGCCCGCGGAGTTGATCTGGATTCCAGGCCAAATCCATGTCTCCGAGAAATTGGAGTCCACTCTGTTTTCTCCAGCTTGTCCAGGTGGTGCTTGGACGTCTTGCTGCCAGGTACTCTCGCAAGATACGTCATCAGGCCGCATGCGTGCAGTTGCGGAGACAGTAGGCGGTAGACCCACACCTCCGCGCGCGATCAATGTAAAATTCACTCCAGCTTGTGCAATTCCATCAGGCACGGCTAGCGTTGGACCGTAAATTTCAACTGCCCCAAGATCAACCCAGGACTGCTCGCCATCTCGTGGTGAATTGCGGCACCCTTGCAACGAGATACCACTGCACCAGCAGACGCGACAGCGCGGAGGCTGCCGGACAAGCAGGTCAAACCTCTCAAAAGATCCCGCACCTCTTGGTTCTAAGTACGTGGGTTGCAAGAGCGAGGGCAGCGCGAAAGCATTATCAGTTGGTTCCATGCATCCTTGCGTAGTATCTAGGACGACCTTGATCTGATCAGTACTGGTCAGGGCAGTGCCCCAGACTTCTAGCTGGGTCTGGATGCCTGCAAACACTTCGAGCGGCATACCCGAAAGTCCAGATGACAATCGCGCGCCTGCAATTGTAAGCACATCAATGAAAGTGTACCTTTCTGAGCAGAAGGGTCCTTCCAAGCTTGCTGCACACCAGCAGACATCATATTGTCCACTTGCCAGGATAGTGGTGTTTGCCCATTCTTCCTGGAGCCCAGTGTCGGACACCTGCGGATCCTCCAACGAAGCGCCATCTTCAGCTGGGTAAGGCCTCTGTGGTGCATTGCTGCAGGGCGATGAATCACTAGGCAAGATCTTGACACGGTCATAGACACTCAACATATAACCGGACATCTCAAAGACGAAGGGCACGCCGGCAACATACTTTGTCTCAGAAAGCCGCCTGCTGGCTGTGCTGACAAAGCTCAGAGGCCCTCTAGAAACGAGTGTACCAGCATCTGATGCAAAGTCAGCCGCCGTCGCACAGTCCATCATGTTGACCCCGTCACTTGGACACCAGCAAACACGAAACTGTCCGCCCACTCGAAGAGTGACATTCCATGCCACAACGGATGCAGATGATGTGTCTGAGGCATTCAGGCCTGCTGGCTCATTGTGGGGATGCATCATTGCTGCATCAATGTCACTTGTAGAAGGGTCTTGTTCGATTTCCATCAAGTACTGCGTGCTGATGTTCGCGCCTTCATAGCCACATGAGATGGAACTCTCGACCAATCGGATCTGATCCGTCAAAAGCAAGCCAACCCCAACAAGCTTCAGGCGAGATGAAATCCCGGCAGCTAGTGGCGGGTCTACTTCCAAAGACTGCAGGCCCCTAACACGTAACGTGCCGACGGTCACAGCAAATTCGGAAGAGTGCCCATTGTCGACCGGATGCCAGCAGAGTGAGAAAGTTCCAGGCAGTGCTCCCGCGGGAAGTTTCCCGAAAGTGTATGGCCATGAACTGCCCTGGGGCTGTTGAAGGCCTCTGCTTCCCTCAAATATGGTGGATGCCGCATCTGAGTCACATGTGCCATTTCCCGCGCGAATCACTACGGGGATGGCATCGGTGGGCATGTACTCATCCATGACAAAATCACACAGGCGAGCTGGTGAGCAGACGACGAACAAGTTCAACTGAGTTGGTCCCACCAGCTCAAGACTCCCGACGTCCACAGCGCCTGGGACGACGTCTGAAGCTTGCCAACATACTCTCAAAGCTGCCCCCAGCACAGTGTCTGGAAAGAAAACACCAACTCTGAAGATGGATGTGCTGCTCGTTGCTGACACAGCTGCCAGGGGCAGTTGCGCAAAGCCGGGCAAGTTTACTATGTCCTGGCAGCTGTTGTTACCAAGCACCAGGCGATTTTGCTGGCCCAGCCCAGAGCCATCCACCACTAAAGTACAGGCTGAAGCATATGTGCAACGGAAGTGCTTCCTGAACGGTCCGGAAAATGTGAGAGACCCCAGCAAGACCTTGTGCACATCGAAGGAGAGTCCATGTCCCCAGCAAATCGAGTATGCAAGCACACTTCCAGAAGGCTGAGACACACTGTATAATGCTCGGCTCGCGTTGATCACAGTTTCTGGCAAGAAGCGAGCAGCAGCACGTGCATGTTGCAGGAGAACTGCTTGATCACCAAACCTAACCATGTCAGCAAGCCATCTAAGGTCCACTGCCTGAAGCTCAGGCCAAGCAACGGGTGCTGGTGGAGGTGTGAAGCCCTGCCCCCCCTTGGCAACCGCGCGCAGGCATCCCAAGAGCCTGCCAGAGTGCTGCTCCTCCGATGAAGCAGCATGATAGTGGTAGAAAGGCAGGTCATCTGCATGTCCACCACATATGTCAGTGGTATGGTTGCTGCTGTTCGGCAGTGGCGCAAACAGGGGCAGCCCATCCATAATGAATCCCAGCAACGGTTCGTGCGACTCATTAAGGAACAATGCCCATGATAATGCCATGTTACACGGCTTGCTGCGCCACAAGCCTGGAGCAGTCGCATAGTATGCAGCCCCAGAAGGCGCCACAACCAGCCCGCATTCGTCTACATTGTCTGGTGGCCTTTCACCAGATATGGACAGACCATCTAAAGCAACTCCCACCGTGCCATTAGGAAGTGGAAGGTAATGTTCTTCCTGCATCAGCTGCACTACTGCAGGCATAGAATAGCTGCGCAGGAGCACTTTCGGTTGGGGGAGATGCGAACCAATTGAACCTCGAGGGCATGTTGTCGCAATGATCCATCGGCTATTCCCTATGACTTGTGCATCGATATAGCTGTCTAGACCAAATGACGAACAGTTGGGAGCCCCATGCAAGCTGAAGGGTGGCAATTGCGGCCAGTCGCATGAGTCACCAGTATGAATCACAATGGAATCCAATGAAGCCAAGCCAAGTCCCGACACCTCAATGACACATTCCAAGCCCAAGGTGCATCCAATCGCACCGATCGCCTCTGGCGCAAGCAGCGATAACACACCCAACAGCACTGGAAACTCGTTTGCAGGGGCTGGGTTATCAGCGCCTCCACTCAAACCATCACCAAAGGTCCGGCCCCAACAAACATCGAATTTGCCAGGCCCTGTTTCGTATGCACCGAACGACATCTGCAGCTCAAGCTTTTGTGTTTGACCCGAACGCTCGCAGCATTGGGCGGGATTCACCAAGCCTGGCTTGTGAAGTCTCAGGGCTAGTCGGTCATCCGTGATATTACATCCTGTACCTTGAGGAAGCAGCAAAAAGCTACTGCGATGCGGCCAAGGCGAAGCATCTCGCTGCAAAATCTTCCACTGTGCGAGTGGGCTGCGGAAGAAATCTTTGCTGCGCAAAGTCCCTGCCTCTGCCGCAAGCATCTTGTACGGACAGGGGCTGTCGCTGGGGGTCAAAAGCCAATGGTATTGTCCGGACTCACTTGGCACTTGGATCCACACCTTCCCCACATCATCAGTACCTTCGGCCCATGGGCTGGCAACCACGGTGCAGTCTGTTGGATGTAAGTGGAGAACGAAGTTCGGGCAAGCTTGCAGTTTTCCAGACACGAAGTAGAAGAAATTCTTTTCGCCTGCAGGTAAACGCTCCCATGTGTGCGTTAGATCTCCTCCATGCTGGCCCCACACCGGCTCGCATTGGCTGCTCAAGAAGATCGCAAAGTTCGGTAGATATTGACCACTTCCTGTCACAAGCCAGTATTCTTTCCACAGAGGGCTGGCAAATCCACCTATATAAGGTTGGCAAGTACTGCCGCTGTCACAAACAAGCTCTTGACCGCTAGTGGGTCCAGCAATGTGCAGAGTTCCAATCGACACGGGCTCACTGCCTTGCTCACCTGACCAACAAAGAACCAGCTGTAGCCCTGCTCTCCCAGATGTCACCGTTCCCAAATCGTAGATATCTGATGTGCCTAATCGAGGTTGCAAAGGTGCACTGAAGTCTTTCATGCCCAGCAAGCCCGGAACGACAGATGCAACGTTGACGATGTCGTCTGCATCGCTGTCCTGACTGTTTGGATCAGAACTGTCGAGCGACTCGTTGGAGAAGGTGCAGTTGGTCCTTGATATCTGCAAGGTGTTGTGGGAGCTCAAACCAAAGCCAGCGAGAGTCAGGTTGCAAGGATAGCCCTTCACGCACACGCCCACCATAGCCTCGGGTCCAACCAAGGAGAAATTCCCAACCTCAAGCATAAAGGGAAAAGCTGGTGAAGGCCGCCAACAAACGCGGAAGAATGGGCCAACAGCTCCTGCCAAGGCCACTCCCGCTACAAAGGTTGCATGTTCGAGGGAGGCGTTTTGCGGAGCCATGGGATTCGTAAAACCTTCTATAGACGCTGAATCTTGCGCTTCAGCTACGGAGCATGAACGCTCAAGGGCTGCGGCCTCCCAAGTAGCGGAGACGGGCCTGTCACCACCGATAAGCCAAAGCTCACTTGACTCAGGAATCTCGTGCCCTCGTACTTGCAACGCACAGGCCAACCCAAAAGTGCAGACAAAGCTGCCCTGCTGCTCCGGGCCAGCCATAGAGAAAATGCCCAGGTCCACATGAAAGTCTTCCCAATGTGACCAGCTATACGCCCAACACAGTCGTCCAACAGACCCGACAGGGCCAGCCTTTGGAGTCCCGGCCGCAAAGTGATTCGGGCCTTGAAGTGTTGGCCGCTGCGGCCATTGAAGACCAACGTGACCAAGCAAGGGTGGCGCAGATCCACAAGAGCTCGCAACATGTACGAGCATGATTGCATTACTCCTGCTGAGCCCATGCCCTTTCAGCACTAGCTGACATGGCATCCCCAGTGTACATCCGTACTGCTGAGCCATGTCTGGTCCCGTGATGACGAGATGGCCAACCGAAGCTGAAAAGCCTGAAAAAGTGGAGCACCTATCTTCATGGGCCACACAATAGCATATCTTCCAGGTGCCAGGGCGCGCAGTGCGTTCCGAAGCATTTGGAAGAGGGAACATGAGATATGCCGTCCGCGCATGCGGCGCCTGCCCCACGTCCAAGATCAGGCCCGCAAGATCAGCTCCTTCTTCTAGACCCGACGATGTCTGAAGGGTTCCATTCAACGTACCTGCATCGGAGTCCCCGCTCACATTGCCGCAGCTCAAGCTAGACTCCACCAGCATGATCTGGTCTTGCGCCGACACACCTTGACCAGCAACGGGGCCAATAAGACATTCACTTGCATTGATCATGCATGTGAAGTTTGCGCCGAACTCTGGACCCGACATGGTGAGGATTCCGATGTCAATAGTGTATCTTGCTGCAGGGCAACCCTCATCAGCGTACACACAATAGCACAGCTTCCACATTCCGGCAGGGACATCGGGCAATACCACTGAGATTGCCTCGTGGCTGTGTTGCGTTAGCAATGTGACTGCCCAAGGCCCGGCCCACTCAGCTCTAGAAGAAACGGCAGCTGTCCCAAGGGATCCTTGACCCTGGCTGCAAAAGCTTGTGGAAGGAATGGCAACAACGAGGTCTGCAGGGCTGAGCGCAAAACCACGCAAGGGTCCGAACTCGCAAGTTGACCCCAGAAAGCAATGCTGCTCCTTCCTTTCCATCAGTCCGGCAAATTCCAAAGTTCCCGCCTGAACAGAGAAGCCGGAGAAGCCTGTGGATGCTGTGGATTTCTGCCAGCAAATTGTGGACAAGCCCGGGCTGTCACCGGTGGGCACGCCCAGCTCAAACACGGTCCTTAGCTAACAAAGCCTAGTGTTGAGTGAGACCTTCATACATACCACCATTACATTGCCAAGGAGTTCTATGACATCTATCATTGTCTTCTGGGCCACTCTAACTTTCACTTCTGGACTTGTTTAGGCGCCACTCGGATACATGCATATAATATGTGTATATATATATATATGATCGCGGCTTCGGTTTGCTAACCCTCCCGCCCGGACTCAACCCCCCCCCCCCCCATGCTTCTAAAGTGTCAACAATCACAAGGGATAGGGTCCCTCGGGTCGCCATGCTCCGAACTGTCGTCACTTTTGTTTGGTCCCTCGAGCTTTTGTCGTGTCTCGGAAGTGGGGTGGTCCTCAGAAGATTTCAAGAAGATCTACGCAGAGTTATGGTTTTAGGAAAGTTGTATACGATGATGACGAAGCCGGTTCCTGTGACACTGATTAGCCTCAAAATGCGACAACAATATGAGGCTTCAAAAGCCATTACAGTTGCGAGGACCGCAATGAGGACCACCAGACAGGCCACCACCACAGGGCAGAGGGGCGCAGCATGACCAAGCAAACAGGCAGACCACCACCACACCAGGGAGGGAATCCCGTGGGGGGGGAGGGGGAGCGCCGTTCATGTTCAGCCAGACTAGCAGGCACCGCGACCTAGTGCTCCTGACTAAGCTGCCACACCCGTATTAGACTGTTATGCTACCTGACAGGCCAAAAAAAAAGCAAGATCGATGGGGGTGTACTATACATATATACATGTTTATACATGTGTGCATATGTCAAAGTGGGCTTTCTCGGGAAAACGCCTGTCAAAACGCCTTTCCTAGGCTACCCGAAGACTCAGGATCCTCACGGAAACTCCCGAAAGGACCAACCCCCCGATTGAAAGAACCAAAGAACCCGTAAGCTCCCTTGATGATTCACTGTTGGGCGGCATTAGTTCCGGAATCTTTGGGGTCTAATGCGAGGTTACCCATGACAACAGGAAGGCATCCGTTGTGGACCACTCCTCTGCTCCCCTCCCTGCAGGCCCAAGCTACGCGTCTCCAGACTAACGCGTTGTGGCAAACGGCAAATACCGAAATAAACTTGTTGCTGCTGCGGTCGGGCTGCTCATTGCTGTCAAAATTTGCAGTCGCCAGGACTGTGGCCGTCTCTTGTTGACGTGCCATTGGAGGTGCAAGCCGACTTGGCGCGGCCAACAACGACCACCTGGGACAGGTGACTTGCATAAACCCGATTGCGTTCACTGATGCCATCCCTGACGATGTAGGAAAACTTTAGGACATCAATCGCTAAAGTATAAAGGCAGAGACTATGACTGTGACAAACCCAAACAAACTCTTTTAGAAATCGCTCTCAGCGAAGACTATTCATCTGTCACTGCCCAAGCCTGTCAGAGAAGCCTTCGAGCATGAATGCTACAGGATCTCTCTCTGGCACATCGTTGGCGGTAACATACGAGATGGCATCTACTTGCCGGCCGCTTGCAAGGGCGAGCTCGAATCCGGTTCCATGGAAGTCCAGAAATTTCGTGGCTCTGCGACCATCAATTGCAAAAGCAGGATCTTCTTCTGCAGGTCCCGCTCCACCTGGCAAGCGCTGCGCCACAGCACCGCGCAAGTCTACCTGCTGTCCCTGGAAGTAAAGCACCAGCTCAGCAAGCTGGACAACATTACCGCTGCGCGCTCTCAGTGGGATGAAGCGGAAACGGCTGTAAAGCGAGAGGCTTGAGGTGGCCTGGCCTTGCTGAGGGTTGATCAGGCCTTGCATCGATACAGGCTCAGAAATGGATCCTTCGCAGGTAACGTCGCCCGTCCGCAGCAATATGCTGGACGACTCATAGCTTGGGACGCCAGAAAGGACAATCGAGCAACTGCTCCCCACTGCACACCTGTGAGAGGCTATTGTAGGGCCCCAGACATCCAGGAACCCCAGCGAGAAGTCGAAGCTTTCATCCTCAGAGCAGCTGTTCAGGTTGCTCCCTGCGCACCAGCACAGAACATAAGTCCCAGGGTCCATGATCATCAAGTCCTTCCAGCTTTGCGCGCTGGCATCCCCAGCGCCGGACTTCAAGCTGCCTCGTAGCTGCTCAGCATCCACGAATGGAGCCTTTCCGCAATCGCTGGAGAGGTTGGCGAGCCGAATACGATCCCACTCCTTCAATCCAAATCCGTCAAGCGACAGATCAAAGCTGTGCCCTGCGGGCACTTGCAGGGGCGAAAAGCTCACTGGACCTCGGACAACAAATGTGTCCAGTTGAAGGCTGTATCGGGCGTCTGATGAGCAAAGGCCAAGGCCACTCCAACACCAACAAGCCACATAAATGCCTGGCTTATCGATCGAGAGATCCCGCCAGTAGAGGGAAGTATTCCGATCAGCTGTGGAGCCTGGAAGACCTGCTTGATCCAAAGAGCCATTCACCGATGAAGTCATTGAAGAAGATCCGCATGCAAGGGTTTCGCTAATCAGTAGGCGATCTTCCACCAAAAGCCCGCCAAGCGGAGCCAAGACCTGAAGATCAAACTCGTGGTTGACAACAGGCTCGAGAAGATCTCCAAAGCCATTTTGCAAATAACCCGCGCCCAGCACATCCAGTTCCCCGACGACCATGGACGAATTGCTAGCAGCAAAACGATAACACAACAACCACGTGCCACCCAAAAGGTCCAAATTGAAAGCGATTTTGTCGGCAAGAATTGAACTTCGGGACGTTGGCGCAGCTGTGTGGTTACTTTCGTTGGCTTCAAATGCGATCAAATCTACTGACTGCACGTCCACAATGATAGGTCCATCAACTACTGCACTGATCCCACGAATTGAGCTGAGCTGAATACCAAGTTCGCTGGCCAAATCCCCATTGTCGGCGGCTGAACTCAAGGAGCCCCTCACCTGGGAAATGGCTCCAAGCGTGACTTGTATTATCACTGTCAGCTGCAACGATCCACTGGCCGCGTATACAAAGACACGTTCAAGCGCCGCCCCCACAACGTGCGCCACTTGACGGGCCGCAGCAGACTTCACAGCGGCAAGTAATTCAGGCGATCCCGCAAGCAGTGCATAGTTGACGCTGGCAACTCGTAGCCTCAAACGAACTTCTTCCATCACCGTCTCCTCCTTAACTGAAGTTGCATTTTCTGTATTGTTGTCGTCTGTCCTGTTGTCCGTCAACAACTCTTGGTCAGAATCGTTGTTTTGCATGGATTGGCTGTCTGATTCGTCTGTGTCGTTGTCAGAACCATTTACCTGCCAATGCATCAACACACGTATCGCTGCTCAGCAAGCAACACGGCCCTCATACAGCTAAGAGTGCCCAAGCCAGGACCTGCACGCCGTAAAGGTCTGTGCTACTACTGCAATTCCTGCACAGGTGGATGCTGTGCGATGTTCGTCCCTTCCTATATGCAAATACTAGCAGTGAAAATTCAACGCGTTACTCTGACCCAAGCAAATCCAAATGCTGGGCTCGTGGAACCCTAATTGTGATTTCTAATTGCCGCATATCCAGAACAAAGTTCGTGTTGGATGCGTTGGATTGATTGGTGGTAGACATCGTGTTCTGACACATGCATCTACATGACCCCACACGTACATAAAGTTTATGAAAACACGATACGACGACATGACATGATTCTACATGATTTCCCTATGCAGGTATTATTTCGGGATGGATGATTGCTGGCCCCTTTCATGTCGCTCCTTGGTCACGATTCGCCCACGAAGCCAAACAAAGGCTTCAAGCGCAAATTGCCCAAGGCACATGCCAAAATGTGCTGCTTTAGTTTGTTTTCGCAAAGTTTCGGGCATTGCTCATCCGATCGTATCCGATCGTCAGCCATATGACAAACGAGTCCGTCATGCAGCGTGCTACATGCTAAGAACTGTTTTCCATTGTTCTTTACGTTTACCATCTGTCAATGCTGTGGCGCGTTGATCCTTTCCCCTGCGGGGACGTCATGCGCACATCTGTTTTCCAAGGCGAGGAAGAACGGAAGACAAGAACGAGTCTGCCAGTCAGATAAATCACTTCACGTTATTAATAAAAACCACCCGTCATAATGAATATCAAATCCAGGGCCCCAATAAAATCCTCATGATTATTCTAAAAGGGAATGACTACTTTCTAAAGGAGCCAGACCATAATGAATTAGGTGTGGTTTTTGCGGAAGTCATCAGAGGGGTATAATAGAAAGTCCGAAGGATGATTATTTCATTCCTCTTCGTTTGTTTAAAACTAATTCGATGATGTTTTTATTTGCTGATTACTCTTTAATCAAGTAAGTCATTCAATGATTCCTGAATATTTGCGAATTTACTTAATGGATTAATTCGATTATTTCACTTAATTATTGAAATTTAGGTTAATTGTAAATTGTTTTGAAATGAATTTAAAGGCAGCCTTACCAGATTCTTTCAATAAATATCACACCCTGAAAATAAACAATTGTTGATTGAGCCCCCGCATTATTTATTGTTGGGGGGGGACGTCGTTTATTGCGGGGGGGCAGCGATTAACAATCGACATGTTCGACATTGAAAGAGATGCTGAGCAACCCATCACAAGTATGGCAATGATGTACCTTCAGCAGCTGTTCAGCTAGCCGGCTGACCGACTGTACATGCCCACGTTTTTGAACACCATTGGCTGATATTAGCTGACTGACTAGTGACGTGCCAGGCCCATTTGTTTTCCTGAGCCATGTGCCTGTGCGGGCAAAAGGTTCGGTGAAGGCGTGTGCAGGTTGCCGGTGCTTGGCGCGTAGCGCAACTGTGGGGGGGAGGGTGGCCTGCACAGGCTCCCCACAGGCGCTGGCCAGGATTCCCTTTATTGGAAGAGAACCACCGCGCGGCCAGGCTTGTTGGCGTGGGGCTGGCAGAAGGCATTGCGTAAAGGGGAGGCAGGATGAGGCAGGGTTTGCTGCAGCGTTGGCATTGCGTTTGACACTTAGATTTTTCTGGCGCTTGTGCTCGCGTCGCGTTCGCAAACATGCGCCAAACGTGCGCAAAGGGTTCGTGAGGCCTCGGCTGACGCGTCCCCAATGGCGACCGTGGGACGCAACTGCATCAATCAAGGGTGCAGGCAACATCAAGAAAAATGAACGGACATCATGGAAAAAATCCCGTATCAAAAAAAATGAGCGGCCTCAGAACTAAAATTAAGGCAAAACACCAGGAATAGCAGCATTTCCTGCCATATCAACACAAAATAAGACTTGCAAGAAATGAAAGTTCATTAATATTAGTGAAAATGATGAAAGTGAGGAAATATGATTTAACATTGTGAAAACCATGGAATTTGAGAAAATATGATGAAAGATGATGAAAACACGATGACAAATGATGACACATGATGAAAGAGGAGGAACACGGCGAAAACGAGGAATTGGACGAAATATGATGAGAGATTGTGAAGACATGATGAAACTGATGACATATGATGTAAAATCATGACACGTAGTGACATTTGAGGAAACATGAAACTCTCTGGAAATTGTGCAGATCATGAAACATGAAAGGTTGTGGAGGATGGGTGAGGAATGGTGAAGATTATTGAAAACATGGAAAATCATTGAAATGCCTGCAAAAAATTGCAACATGATGAAACATGATGCATACGATGGAAAAATTCCCCAGGAACATCCGACATGAAGAACAATCATGATAAATCATGAAGCGTGCGAAATATTCCACAATCATGAACAAGTAAAGGATGGACGGCCTTGAAGCAAAGCGGGGGGGTGGTTCGGGTCGCAGCCCCCCTTGCCTAACCACCCCTTACTGCCAACACGATGATGAAATGATGTTTCTGTGTTACGACAAGCGTGGATGGCCTGTGAAAAAGCCGGGGCAAGGGGGTGTGCAACCCTTCCCCCCCACTTGCAAACAACAAGGATGAACCTCTTTTGTTTTTTCCTGCGGACCTTTTTCCGAACTGTTGTTAGCCGTCTGCCCTAGGTTTCCGGCTGCCTGCGCTGCCCTACTCGCCTCTCAGACGGAGTCGGCTCGGCCCCGCAGGAGGCGCGAGGTCGAGCACGCTCTCCAGCGGCGGCTCTGCCAGCCTGTTCGGGTGTGCACCCGCGTGAGTGCCGCTTTGTGAGCGCAGCAGCACCCTGGTGGCTGGCACAGTGCCGGCAGCAACTCGCCTTCGCGATAGTGGGTGCTTCGAATCCGCGATGCGTGTTGCTGCCAGCCACGTGGCCTGCTTCCGCGGTCTGCTTCATGGTGGGGGGGCCTTGCGCCATCGCAAACCTCCCTCCAACTGGGGCAATCCCGCCACCCTTAGTCTTGCATTAGCTGTCGCACGTCCGCTGCTTCCTGCGGACATGGAGGAACATCCAAAATGATGATAGGAACCACTAAGTTGACAGTGCTGTATTTACCGTGTCTGCAGCCTTCCCATTCCCAAATGATGCAAGCTACAATAGTTTTACGTTGTTTTTTCTCGCTTTTATTTTCGTTGTATGAAATTCGTGATGCATGCGCATTTATACATATCGATGTGTGCGCATTTAATTGTGTATATGTTTGCCTTGTTAATGCCACTCATGTGCGTGATCCTGTTGCACACATGGATACATCTTATCCGTAAGCTTCATGAGCCTCCAGCCATTATTGGACACATTCTGGCCCTATACCTAATCCCCCGACGTCGTCGTTTGGCCGTAGAGCATTGTGCACATGATCCGTTCCCATGCCTTGGCGATGAAGCTGCAACGTGACCACCATGCAGAGAGGAATGTCCTTGAACGACCATGGGTCATGGTCAGAATTGTGAAACATGCACACCAATGTATGTACAAGCCCTATTCCAGCACTCAGGAAAAAACACATCACACTTCACACGCATCAGCTGCTTGACAAATTGCGCCCACAAAGCGAATGTTCTGAACAATTTGACGGGCTGTGTTCATGCCAGGGTTGGTGCAGAACAGAACATGCAGGTCCAATGATTGATGTGCTGTGCGGGCTTGCCACCTTTCACGCAAAATGCGATGGGCATTACATTCAAGTAGTGCATGATG